AATTCAGTCCTTTACACAAATGTTAAATTAAACACTGTAGATTGTATGTACAAATTTTGTAAGGTAGACCCCGAAACCCAACATAATTTTTTTCCAAAGCCTTTTTCCACTGTCACTCTGGCAGGATTTTGAGCAGGATTACTCGACCATCACAAAGCAGCAGATAATACTCAACTCAAGGTTTAATAATATGATCTTCTTGCCTCTTCCTCAACTATTTGATTTATTACTGAAAAAATATATTTTTTTATTTTTATTTTCTCAACAAGTAGTGAGAAGCTCTTAAAAATTTAAATAATTGTGATGGTTATGATTATAGAAAAATTAATGATGATTATACTAGAAATAATTTTAATGCAAATTATAATAATGACAAAAATAATGACGATTAAAATAATGATATCATTAATGGTTATGTTGATAATAATAAACTCAAAGCATTTTGATTTGGCGTCGCTAAATTTACTCTCAATACTTTTCAGGCGAATTTAGTCGCTTCTTTATCCAGTCCGTGACCAAAAGTGGCCAGCTTAAGGAGACTGGAGGAGATTCGTGGAGAGTTCACATCAGACAAGGTCCAGCATCCTTAACACCGATCGTGGTCGACCATAATGATGGAACATACGAGGTTCTGTTTCTTGCACTGGAGCCTGGGAATTACTCGGTCCAGGCTATTCTGGATTTCACGCTTTGCGATGGCTTTAGAGATCCACCGGAGGATTGGTACATAAAAGGTTCTCTTTTGATATGTAAATTCAGCATCGCAACTGGCAGTTGTTGATGTGGGAATTTCGTTCTAAAGGTCTTGCGGTTCATTGACAAAATGATATAACAAAATCACTTCCACGCCTTTTCTCCTTTTTTCTTAGGTGACATTCAAGGCCACAAACAGGAGACTGGTATCCTGGGAGATATTGACCATGATTTTATCAAAGAGTGCAATAAAACAAAAGGTAATAATGTGAATAATAATGAAGAAAATAATTTGCTTACTGCAACTTTTTTTTAAACAACGTAAGAGAGCAATATTTTCAGAAAATAATCATTAACCCGAACATCAGTATGCATATTCTCCATACTGTTCTCTAGACATTTCCTAAGATGCCGACAAGGAGAATTTGTTCAACAATCAAGAGCTTCTTTAGTTGCGGATCATTTCCTATGTTCTCCTAACCTTCATTTCTTGATTCAGGGGTGATATTATGGGGAGAAATTAGATGCTAGTCACTCTTAGGATGTCGAACCTTCGGCAAATGAAAAGTCTGCACTCTCATGCTCCATCAGCGAGTCACAGTGTATTGTAAATTTAGCTAGGCCGTTGCTTTAACGTACTATGTACAGGTTTCTTCAAGTACATCCAGCCATTTCTAAGTCAATCAAGTAAAGAAAGTTTCCTCCAGTCGTCTTGTGACTTTAATTGCTCCTTGGTGTGGAATGGCTTTGGGTGATGGGTCAACAGCATTTGGAAACAATACATGCCTGAAGGTTGGCGAACTTAGTGATAAAATTAATGACTTGATAATGTTAATTTTTCCTAAACGTTGATGTCAGTTCATGTTCGATGCTTAAAAAGTTTGCTTGCGACGTAAGTTACCACCAGAACTTTTTTCAGGTCTCCTCAACAACATCTTACTAAACACTACGGTATGCGAACAATCTTCAAAGTATTGCATTGAGAAGAAAGAAATTCTTTTGAGTCTCCCCATTCCAAACTATGGTCTGATTATTTAAACAGAGTTTAACCGTTACTCATCAAAACCGCGTCCCAAACAATCCTCAATTTAGCTGAACCTTTCATATGAACACTTACATTTGTGAACAGTGTCAAGAGGGCCAAAAGCTAACAGTGGAAGGGCATTTTTTTTAATGAAATCAACCCTCTTATAGGGAGAGCCTGAGGCCCACTGATTGCGGTAAACTGTGGTTTGGGTTAGACCTTGTGTAAATAAGCGGCCAATATGTGTTTATTTCTTTTTTTTTTTCCTTTATCAGAGATGCAAAAGGCACAATATGCGGAAAAAGATGTAAAGATAAAATTAGATGATCTAATGTTTCATGGGGATTCCACAAACGTGCATTTCCATTCTCTTGCAATGAGAAGTCAGCTTTCTAAGAAAATGTTTCATACCTGTGGGAAGAAGTACATGTGGACCTATGATGTGAGTGGGAAGAAACTCTTCCTTATTTATAATTTGCTTATTAAACGTCTTTCGTTTGTTGATTTGAATTTGGGATCAATTCTCTTGAAGCATAACCTCGAAAAAGTTGGACGAACTAAATAAAAATAAAATTGACACCGAAACACTCTTTTCGTTTAGAAGATTATAGCAAAAACATCACTCTAATTGGGCGTATTACCAGTTTCTTTTGTTGTTTATTACCAACTTGTAGTTAATAATACATTTAAACTGAGTTCTACTTTCTGCTCTCGAGTTTTTCGTTTACTTTGTTTGTTTTTTTAATGAAACAGTATCTACCTGGGGAACGTTAGTTTTGCAAATTTAAAATTAGTGACGGTAATGGCTGAGTGGGATCCAACTTGGTCTGAGATCTTATGAATGATTCACGAAATCTGACCACCGCAAAGCGGGAGTCGACTTGTTTCTTACGAGTATAATTACAGGTAGAACTGGACGACACGAAATTTTGTTCCCTTTTTATTCCAAACTATGACAAAACTTGAGACACGAACTAGCCATCGGTTACACTTTTCATAAAAAAACAACAGTTAACTCGGCGATATTCTTGACAACAGCGTACGCGCACAACGTGTACTCTCCAATAACACATGCATGATATATGCATGACTGTCGAATTACACAGTTCAATTCTAAGCTTGACGCTTATACTTTTCCTACTAGTGCTCAAATCGGGCTGGTGATAACCAATCATGTTCGAAAATTTTGTAATGATTTTGATTAGCCAAAGTAGTTTTAGATGAGAAACAAATTATTAAATTTTGTCATAGCATTTTTGTCAGCTAATCTCTCTGTTGGTAGGATTTTTTTAACGTTTCCATGACAGATTTTTGTTCACATAATTTTTTAAGGTTTTCTCTCGTGGTTTTATGAAGCATTAAAAAGGAAGACGCGAGCGCTCGTTGTGTATCTTTGCAGGTCTCCTGGAAAGGAAGCGATGATAAAGATTTCAGCCAGACTATTGTTCATGAGGAGATCCAAAAAGTCTTGGACAGCCATGACATGAGAGGGAATCAAAGCGTTTTCTTCATTAACGTCGGTATACATTACTCACTATCGCTGAACTTTACAGCTTACCAAATGCTGATTGATAGCATTATCAAGATACTAAGGAGGGACACTGATGCTGAGAATGAAGGCGCGTTGAAAAGCCGGGCACTTTTCATTTGGCGAAGCAACGCAGCTGTAGAGGCGAAGGGTTTTGAAGACTTTTTCTCGCTAGTGAACTATACCGAATGGAGATTCTATACCAATCAGGTAATAGTACAAGTTGAAATATTAAATGCCTTCGTCGCAAACGTAATCAAGTCTTTTGCTGGCCGATGAAAGGACGTATTTGTACGCGCACGGGTCAAGCAAATGTACTAAGAAACACTCAACAGAAAACTTTGTAACGTACGGAGACCAGTCTTCGCAATCTTCATTTATCCAGGGGGGGGAGGACTTGATGGGGATCAGTAGTCGTCAGCATAGTATAAAAGGGGGGGTACCATAGAAAATTGATTGCCAATTAAGTGACAATGAGAGGGGAATAATAAGAATATTATAGAATCTGTCTAGGGGGTATCTGGTAAATTTTAACGTGACACCGTGACCAAAATCTTCCGAACTCCTCCCCCCACCTCACCGCAGGTGGTCTACGATGACCGGTCTCTAAACTGGGGATACACATGGCATGTAAAACGATGGATGGTTGGCATGCGCACCCCAATTTTTTTTCATTTGTTTCAACTTTGTCTTTCAGAGGACTTTGTGATAGAATGCTAACTGACACTTGTCATCGAAAACTTTACCATAACAACTGAAAAATCATGGGGTTAAGGATTGCGACAATGTCTGTTACGTACACAAACTATGAATGTTTCAAATTTTTCTATAATATTTTGCCTAATTTGTCTCATCTCTTCCTTGCTTGCCTACTTTGTTTACGATTCAGAGGAATCAGCTGTTCCATACTTATGCTACAGATGCTATGTGTAAGGCTAGAATCCCTGTTCTTGATATGTACCCGATGACCACTGCTTGGCCTGAAGGCACCCGTGATTCCATGCACTACAACGATAAACCATTGGAGCCGGCAGTTACAGCTTTGGAGCGATTTCTTACTGAAGCATCAATGAGATAATAGAGTTCTTCTGTGTTGCCTTATATACCGTGAGAAAAATAGGATCGTACTCTTATCTTCTCTTAGAGAGGATCATTGCTTTAGTTAAGCCATAACTCTCTTGTTAAGATGTTTCTTTGCCTTTTCATTAATACAAATATATTAATTTTTATCCACTCAAAGGGTGTTTTCTTACAGTTGTACAATAGCTTGCACATCTTCCCTCGCATTCAAGTCATCTTAGTCCAATAGTAATCATCGTCTTTTCCTTAATGCATTAAATCCGTTCATTTTCAAGCTATATTCTCGAATACAATGTTGAGGTTTCCCCAGGAACTGGCATAGACATTTCATACCTGTTAGCCATAGCTTGCTTAAAAAGTCATCTCGATACGCCTCCTTATTGTGTTCTTAGTATGCAATAGGCCCTCTACTAACATGATACAGTTGTCTCCTAACGAGAATCACGTGCAAGTAGTTTCATATTTAATTTGTTCGGTGACTATTGCTGGATTTCTGTAGGTGGAATGTTCAGCTGTCTTCTTGTGGAATGTTCAGCTGTCTCTATAACATATGCTATACAAGCCAACACATCTCCCTTTTTTGATCGCACAAAGGATATCTCTAAAGTAATAATACCATAAGATTTAAGATCTTCATTATAAAACCATGCAGACTTTTTTAGTTTAACACCTGTTTATTGTAATCGATTCAGTTATAACAGAGATATATTCCACAGCTTTCTAGAGGTGAGTAAGCTTCTGAAAGAACGGTTAGTAACTTTTAAGAAATAGAGATTATATGATGGGCTTCGACAGTAGTCGTTTATATCACCGGCAGTCCACTGCAACTTACAGGATTTTTATAGCCCGTTACATGGTTATAGTTGCTTATTTCACCATTAGCAGCACCTTTTGAACAAAAGAAACTTTAAATCTTCGGAGTCAGGTGTTATGTGAAAGTTAAACTGACCGTGCTTTTACGAAATAACACAAATTCCTTTCTTTGGTGGGGGAGAAGGTGGCCCTTTAAGAAGAGCAATAATTTGCTTTTGAAGCTCGACAATTTGGTCATTTCTTTCATCCATTAACAGCTGCGTCCGCTCCATCATCTCCTTAGAGGTTTGATTCTGCTGGAGAATTGCCTCTCGATCCTTTTGAAGCACATTCATGTTTGCTGTCATCATGTTGTGCATTTGCTCTCTCTGGGCTTCCATGTCCGCTTTAAACTGCACTTCCAAGCGTTTCCTGTCTTCCTCTTGCTTAGCTTTTAGAATTTCCATCTGGAACACAACACGAAATTCACTAATTGATATATGAAACATTTTAAGCTTATATCTACCCACTCCTTCAATTTAGCTGATGCACAGGAATAAATGGCAATAATCAGACTGAGGTGGGCGGTGGAATAGGGACACAGGTAGTATATTAGTAGTGTATCGGAAGTAACCCATGTGCTAACACGTCGCATGTTACCTTCAAGTAACACCCACGTGATAACAGACAAGTAGAGAAACAAAACAAAGGCAACAAAAACAACAGCAACAAACAAAACCACCCAATAAATCAATAAACAAACGAAAAAATTAAAAACAGATACGAGGAAACCCACCTCTTTTTCTTTCGCACGCCGCTCCTCTTCCAACCGAGCATTTACTTCCTAGAGTTCAATCATAAATCGTTAGGCATTATTGATATAGGTTGTAATCTGTATTTCAATATGGCAATTGCGAGAACCAACTTTTGCTGCTAATGCATTGAAATTTGTAGCATATTACATGAACCCTGTTTTTACCATTACTATTAACGTTATTATTATCACTATTATTATTATTATTATTATATAGTATGTTATGGTTTTAATCGTAATCATTATTACTAATTTTTACATAATAAACATAACCTGCCTAGCAAGGAAAAATTTCAGACGATAAATTGTGCTTTACAGCTTTACACACAAAATTTATTTGTTTATTTAGTGTGAACGCATTAAGCACCCAAAAGTGAGGTATGTACATACTGCTAGAAAGAGACGAGCGCTAGAGCTAGCGCTTTAGGCAAGTTTGTACAATTGTCACTCAGCTGCTTGACTGTAACTCCGCGCTCGACAAATTTTTACCCTCAAAATCTTTTGATGCAAACGTATTACAACAAATTTAGGGAGGCTGATTGAAATGAAAGACATAATGATGTAACACGTAGGTATGTGCGGGGGGTAATAGTATCTCTCTCACTAATTATAAAATGTGTCACCTCTATTCGTTGTCTCTCCCGCTCCTGACGAGCCTTTTCTTGTCTTTCGAAAGCCAAAGACTCGTCGAAGTCTTTCAGGTTTTTTAGATGCGCCATGTGGTGCTTCATCTCCTCCTGCATTTCCTACAATGCCCAAATAAGATTGATGGACAGCTCTAACTGGCCGGCTCGGCTTAGTTTTTTACATCATTTGTTATTCTCTACCATTGGGGGGGAGGGTGGGGGGGTGGGAAGTGGGTGTTATGCACCATAGCTTAAATCCGATTATTCGTTTGGCCGATGGTTTGCCCTCTACTTTGCTTATATCTTGCTCGATTGCGTTGGACTGATTTGAACGTTTTCAACTGATCAAAGGAAATCCCACATACACCTACCGGATGAAAATCGTAAAACTCTTGAGCGCAGACGTCCTTGGCTCCCTTCGCTTTACGTTTAAATCCCTGTTCAATTTCTGAGTAGCCTCCAACGATCCGATCAAAGCTCATTGATACTCCATCCTTACCGCGTAGCTCCCTCAGAATGGGGTCCAAGTGGTTTTTTTTCAATTCCCGCAGCAGTTTAGAGCATTGTTCTTTCGTCAGTCGATTGTTCTTATCCTGCCATCGTTTCAACGATTCGTTCATATTCCCCTAAAAAGAAAGAACATTGCTTATTTCATTGGAAGGTAGTGGTTTAGTCTGAAACATAGATGTGCTCAGGAAACAAAAATACTGAGTATTCCTAACAGGAGCTGCGCTGATGACCCTCTGAGTCAATACTAGCTTCTGAAAAATGCTTGGAAAACCTTTCTATATCTCGACTAGATTTGCTACTCGTGAACTCAAAACGCCATTGAATTCATAAACTACCCACGGATGAATATCCTTTAACCTTCAAAAGCTTGCTCGATCATTATCTAGGAAAAATTGTTTTTTCATAATAACACTGTAATGTTGCAGTCTTACCACGAGCTCATCCAAATAATTCACGCTACTCGAGAGGGAAACTCCAACAGTTTCTTTCTTAAAAATCCTCATGCTTTCTCCAATAGCTCTTTCCTGAACCTGGCGAATGTTATCGCTGTCACAGGGCAGTACGCCAGCAAGCTTTGACGTCATTACACTTTTATACGCCTTTAAGGCGGCAAGTTTCGCCTCAGCGCACTTGGTGTGCACAAAGGTCTCCCACGCACTCTGCACATTGGGTACTGCACCACGAGTGTTCAAGGCGGAAACGTAAATATTAACGAGAGCTGCAAGAGCTATGATTTTAAAAAGAAAAATATAATTAATTTTAGTAAAAGTTTATGTTCAATTTCTTGCGTAGTTAACATAAAAGGGAAAAATGATTTACTGTTCACAAAGGCAGGTTTTCCATCTCAAACTTCGTCTCTTTTGCACAAGTTCTAAAAAGTTATGAAATCTTAGAATCTTATTTTTGGGATTTATGAAAAACGAAAATTTCTGAGCCGTACTCTAAAGATTCTAACTCAGAGCCACTTTTGATAATTAGAAACTCTGGACATCAGGCACTAAAAAAGCTGTGTGCATCTATGATTTACTTTTCTGATAACTATTTTCCATATAAGGCAAAGTTACAAAATAAACGGGAGAAAGGTTTTCATACTTGACATGAACGACTCTGAACGAAGTGATCTCAATTCAGTTCCCAAGGCCTTTTCGTTGAAAATAAGTTATCAAGTAAGGATCTGATTTTAATTTGTTGTGGATTTTTAGCTGGACACTAGAGGTAATTTTAGAGCACTTCTTTCATTCCATTGATACCATATGCTCATTAAAAAGTTTTAATCTAGTAAGCCTGAATTTAGTAAATTCAGAGCGTAAGAAAGGAATGAGGGAGGAGGGAGGAAGGATAAGGGGGAAAGGGCTGAGGTATCCACCTACCTTCACCAGTTACGTATTCTCCATCGTTAAAACTGCGCTTAGCTGATAGCTTAGACCTAAGCAGTGCCTTGAACTCCTGAACTCCTTGGAAAAACGGCCCTTGGAGGTCTTGCTGCACCTCGTCTCTGTTAGGTTTCGCTGTCAGTTGTTCGTTTGATGGAGGCGGAGGAACCTTGAAAGCGTCAAACCCAGGGAAGAAGTTCAAGATACTCTTTGCCACTTGATTTGATTGGTTGCATTTTAAAGTTGGATCGGACTTGAAAATCTAGATGTAACAAAACCAATGTCATACTGAATTGCTGCGGTATTGAAAGAAGACAGCTATACTTCAAAATTGACAAGCAATTCTTTGTAATGAGCACTGTAGCTCGTGATTGTTTGCTTTTCCCTCGTCTCTCCATTGTTCGATCTGTTGACACAGTGAAACTCATGCAAACGATCCTTAGTTTTCCTCTATGGCTTAATCCAGTACAAGTATTAATACAGTAAAAGTTGAATTCATGCCTCAATGAGGAAACACTTATTAATCAGTTACCTTCGAACAAATTGGCATAAAGTTATCCTTGAAAACAAACTTTATAAACCCACCCTTTTCAGAAAGAAATCCTTGATACTGTGACAGTCCCCTGGAAGATATAGCCTAGCATCTCGCAGCAGCCAGATGAAGAAGGGAAATGTTTTATGAAATCGATTTGCATCAGCCCGCAGACCTTCTCCACTAGGTGGATCACTCGTTTGTGCATAAAGTTGAACTCGCTCAGAAAGTTTCGCGATAAAGCTGTGATAAATGTTAAGGATTCCAAAGAAAATTGATTGATCGAATCAATCATCTAACCAACATTTTAAATGTTGGTTAGATGCTTGAGTTCTGTCTTCCGAGACATTGTTGCAGGAGGTTAAAAGATCTTTTCGTAATCAATTTAATGTAGAATTGACTTAGAATTGCCATTTAAATTATGCAAAGAAAACACTTTTAATAGTGAGTTCTATATGAAAAGTGGGCCTTCAAAAGTTGTGGAAGATTGAATAAATATATGTTATTTGCCGGCTAAGAGGTCTGTAAAACTGTGATCAGGGTCACAGTTTTTCACCATACGGACCGATCCTTAGCCGGTAAATAACATATATTTTTTTTAAATTCAACGAAATTCTTCCCGAAATAACCCGAATGATTTAGGGCTGTAAATTCGGCAAGATCTTCCATAAACTAAACAATTTTTGAGCGAGTAAATGGTAGTTAATTTTTCATTTGCGTAATGATAAAAGTGATTTAAAAGGCTTCCAAAAAACTCTGAATCATTATTTTTACAAGTATCTGTCACAATCCAACACCTGTCAATTAGAGAGCACGCAAGAAAAAAAAAGCGCAAGTACACTTTTGAAAAACAACGAAATTAGTTTGGCAAGGACTGTCCCGACAATGTTTTCTTCAAAAACAGTAAATGATCTAACGGAAAGTATCATTCACTCTCATCGACGATTAATTCATGTACGAAGATTTACCTCTGTTCATTAAGTAAACGGCGAGAAAAGTAATTGTAAGTAAATTCAATTTTTTTATTTTGAAGTTGTGAGAGTTTGCTTGTTTGTTGGCTGCAATGACGTTTGTAAATCTGGTCTTTACTCCACAAAAACTGAATTCGAATGATACACTCCAACGAGACACAGGGGGATTTAATGCGGCTTTTTTTTATTGAATTCCTTCAGTTTCTGTTGTGCAATTTACGGTACAAATGTCCAAATCGAACGGACTTGGGAAGACTGACTGAGAGCGTATATTTGTTGTAGAACTGTAATCAAAACTTAGCTCGCCCTTTCACTACGAACAGATTGTTTGAGAAAATTCAGATATGAATGAAAGTTCCATCGATTAGTTAAACAGTAACCAAATACCTCACGCTTTAACTTTCTAGGACTTTTTGTGAACGATTGAAATTAATTGCAGACGGTTTTTAGGTCGCTTGTCAACCAACGTATGACACTATTGCTTATACAAATTCATTCTGAAACCAATATTTTTCTGTCCATCAAAGTGATTTGAGAGAGAGAGAAGAAAGGATTAATAAGTTATTTATCGGCTTGAGGCAGTGACCGACGTCTTTGTTAAAAAAATATTGCCCAGCCGGAAAAACGAAACATTTTTATGGAATATGGCAACGAAAGTAGGGATGTACTGGGCGACTCACCAAAGCGTTACCGTTGCCCTTAGGCAGAGATAGGGAAATACGGACCGTGTAAAGAACCAATCAGATTGCAGGATTCGTTACCGTGCCCTCTAGAAAAAGAAATTCAATTTAGAAGAAGTTATCCGTGTTGGCATCAACATGGCAAAAGAAAAAAATATTCGTCCACCTTGAGAAAAAATAACTTCCCCCAGTTCGATGTCTTTTCCCAAATGCTCCTTATTCGACGACTGAGCTTAAAATATTTCGTCTTTCAAATAAAAAACTTTTAAAAGTGTTTCACTTCTTTGACCTACCGAAGTAATCGATATTTTATTTTCCATAGAAACTCAATCACTCAATGCCTGTATCTAATCATCGGTAATATTGAAGCTGAACTGAGAATTAAAGGAGGTCATTACACCAGATAAACATCTATTTAAAGGCTTACAGAGCAAAACCTCTGATTAAGGATACTCTAGTTGGTCAACATCAGTTTTTTTCGGTACACCCGGAGAGTTGTATATCAGTACCGAAGCCAGAAGGACTATCAGTGTAAAAATACAGTGCTCGTTTGATCCATCACTCGACGCAGCGTCTGTGCCTTCAGAGTCAAGCAAAACCACTGTGAACTCCTGTCCATTGGAGTCCTTTTCAGAAAAGATAAAGAAAAAGAAAAATAGAACGATACCGGAAATGGAATTAACATTTCCGGGAATTTTTTTCCTTTAGCTTCCAGTCATGAAAGAATATTGTCGTTTATTACCTTCAATTTCAGAAACTGGATGAAATCATAATTAAATCACATCAAAAAGAATTGAACTAAATTGTTAATTTTAGGATGGAAAAAGTTGGGAAAAAATTGTAGTAGATCAAACAAAATAGTGACGAAAGAACGGACTGTCTGACCTAGTTCACCGCAACAAACGAATGCTATTTATTCAAACAGCCAAATTTAAAAGACTTGAAAGAAAAATTATTGTAAGTTTTCTAGGTAGTGGTGTATATCTAAAACCCAGGTCCGCATTTGCTGGCTGTGCAGGTTTGTGTCCTGACTTTCTCCATTTTCAAGCTAAAAATTTCCTGTAAATCCTGCCTTGCTCTTTTATCTATTTTTCCAATTGAATCGGTAGTTAGAGAGTTTGAATATTTTTTGTCACCGAATCTGTGACTCTAAAATACCTTAAACTTATCTGGAACAATCCACATCCAGATTCCCACGGTTTCCGGATCCATAGAATGTCCAAGACGAAACACTTCTCCCTGATCGAATAATTTACTAATGATGTACGATTTTCCTCCGCGATAAGGACCAGCGATTGAAACCACGCATACTGGACCTGATGATGTAAAAGAGCAGGTAATGTTGACCCTGGTCCAGGTTTATTAACTAGAGACAAAGATGAGAGAATACTGAGACCTGCATCTAATTTCTCCTTACAATATCATCCCCGAATTACACATCAAGGTCACGAGAATAAAGGAAATGATCACTAACTAAAGAAGCTCTTGATGTTTAAACAAATTCTCCTTGTCAAAACCTTAGGAAATGTCTTAGGAACAGTATGGAGAATACTGAGACTAATTTAAATCAGAAATATATAAAGCATTTTGTATTTCTTTTCTACTTTTGGTCTGGCTCGTTTCATTTTCTTCTTTCTTTTTCTTTCTTTTTCTCTTGTTGTTAAGTAGTCATCCTCGGTATGTCAATCATCTTCTCAAAATACGTTGAAACATTCAGTGATAAATTCATACAGTATTCTATTGAATGATAAACTCTACCTTTGATGCTCTTAAGCCTCTCTATAGCTGCGTCAATAACACAAAGGCTTTCTCTGGAGCCACCACTCATGCTGTACTCCCCTGTCTGTGCGTCCCATTTATAGTTGTTCGGAAGACAAAGGGGAACTGCACGTTGTTCAGACATTGTGGTTTTAAAAGAAGGTGGACTTTAAACTTCTCTGCAAAGGAACATGTTAAGTTTGGTGAGAAAATGGACGAGTGGGAAATGTCTATGATAATAATGTTCATGAAAAAACTACGCGCTTCGGATCGGCTGAAAACGAGTGCATTCTTATGTAACACGAGTGCAAAGTTGTAAGGGAAGGAAAGTGTTGGCCCTCCCTCATGTTTTGATTAAAAAACTCCTGACCCCCCCCCCCCCCCCCCACTTTTAGGTGACTGACAAAAGTGTGACCCTCCCCTCACTACCACATGGTATGCTCCATGCCATAGAAACCTCAGAACATTTTTCGACATTTTGCTTGTAAACGCAAAATGTTTGAATATGGATAAATCTCGATATTGAATATGTGCGCGCTGAAACAAGAAACACTACCACAGACGCTGACATGCAGTCAGTAACTGAAGCAAGCGATTGTAGTTTTAGAAGGTATGAAGGGCTGCGTTTGCGTTCTTTGAAGCAGCAGGTTACATCTGCAAAAGAAAATTGGGGCGGAGAAATGGAAGACAATGACAGAGATTTGGGAGTCAGTGTTTATGAGAAGGCAAACGCTCTCTTAGAGAACATTGAGAAAGCCAAATCTGAAATGTGGAAAGTCAAAAGCAAAGAATTTGAAAATACACTTAAACCTGTGGTAATGCAATGTCATGACATTTTGAGGCACATTGCTTCTTTTCAACTGCCGCCTGTGTATCCCTGGATACTGGAACTCACTGACGCCGGTCCTGGAGTTGGCGTATCAAGTGCCGAATGTAGGTGGCGTTTACTCGAAAAGGCAAGAATCCATAACAGCGACAAGTGCTTCGAATCCACCGAGCAAGAGAGGATTCGGGCCAAAACGAAGCGGAAAGGCTCAATGCTTGCATAGGAGACACTCTATGTGATGCCGCTTCATGGTTTGTCTGTGGATGAGATTAGTTCTCTTACAAATTCAGAGCTTGAAACCCAGAGGAAAGCAAACATGGAAAAAGAATGCTTGGGCTGTAGCAGAAGAAGTAGTTCGTCGTGTTGATGATGCTCCGGCACCACGGGGATACATGTCGGCAATGATGGTGGATAAGCCAGAGGAAATGATTTTCTATAACCGCGATTTTATGAAGCAGTATCACGATGCTCCGAACAATAAGAAAAACACTGTTCCAGGTCATGGATATTTTGCTAAACTAGCTTCATTTGAAGAGGAGCACTGCGAGAAAGGGGAACTGTACATGGAGTACAGAAAAATGTCTTGTCAAGAGAAAAACGGCGAGCTATGCGAATACTGTCGAGCAACTGATTTTCTAAGTCCTACTTCCGCTACACCTACTCCACGACCCTATCCCGATTACAGCAAACTTCCTGACTTTCACTACCTACCAGGTACGAAAACACCAACGACTGGCCGCAAACCTGATGATTATCAGCCTACAGCTCAAATAAAACAGATGTTTCAAGAGGGTACGCTCAAAGCCGGGGATAAAAATGCGATCAAAGATTTTTCTGAAAAATATATTGTTTCAGAACTAAGAAAAGATAAGCGAAGAACAGAGAATGACAGAAAGCGTACAGCAAGAAAGCAACAGGAATACAATGACATTGACTGGCAGGATCTTTATCACAAAAACCAATTGTCAACCCTAAGAGTAGGTGAACTTGAACTGTATATTAATCATCACAATATTCTATTTAAAGGGAAGAAAGATGAGAAAGTGAGGGTTGTGAAGGCTCATATTGGCAGTAAGATTTTGACTTCAATTGTGCAGGAAAAACAGACAAACATTCCGCTAGCCTCAGACTCAAATCCAGAGTTTGACAGTGACAGTGACAGCGACAGGGTAGAGGGCATTGTTGGATCTTCTAGTAACTCTTCAGAGCTTAATGACTCAGGAGATCAGGCAGCGGATAGACAACAGCTGGAACAAGAAACCATACTCGAGTCAAGTATGTCACGATACGGGACGGAAAAAGACACGAGTACTCCGAGAAAATTATGTGCCATGGAATAATATACATGTAGACACCCAATAACCTTGTAAAACTAGTACCTGCACCGAATTAAAAGAAACAAGTTGAAAAGAAAAAACTTAGTCTGTTAAAGAAAAATGGAAAATAACATCACAAAAATCCCCATTAAAAATTCTGGAAAAGGTGTGACCCTCCCCTTGAATAGCTGAAAAAGAGGGTATGGCCCTCCCCCTGTGGTGCTCACTTTCACTGATGACCCTCCCCTCTGAGGCCCCAGCCCTCCCCCCCCAAGAAAAAACGTACCTTCCCCAACGTAACTAACGTCCCCTAACGTATCGAAGATAAAATAATATAAATGAAGGAACTATCGCTTACATTGCAATAACGACCGTAACATGGAGGTGTGAAATATAATCGGCAGATTATCCCAGAGGTTGACTGATCTATTCAAATCCTCTTTGATGGTTGCCATTCTCTCATTAACTCAAGTCGGGCATTTTAATAGCCTCGTGCACTGTAGATGCCTTGAATTTGTCTCTCTTAAGTTACCCTTTCTGATCAGCGTGAGTTTTCAACAATCTCGCCTTCTAAACAGAGATTGTACTGTACACTTTACAGAGCGTTGTTTAAATTCTTCGCGTTTGTGTTTAGACTTGCTTTTACGCAACAATTGTTCCGGATATTCATGAATAAACATTCGCACCAGGACTGATCGTGGGAAAATTTCAGTGCCTTTTGTTTTGCTCACGGTCGGGTCACGTTATAAGTGAACCCCATCGAGTTCGAATCATGCCATGACAATGCATGGGCACGTGCGGAAATAAACACTCATTGTGGCAGTGGAAAGTTTATTAGCATTGTCATGCGCGAGCTCTTTTTGGCGGGTCAGCCAATGAGCTTCGACTGTTCCCACGGACACGGTTTAGAAATTACAATGGTTTGTCATTTTTTTGCTTCATGAAGTTTTAATAAGAATCATACGAATCATACTGATCATAACGAAGGCTGGACAACCATTCATAAGCCGGTCTTTAACTTGGACGATACCTTCAAGTTAAAAAACTTATATTGGAGATATGGAGCTAATCAAGCGCGATTCCGAGCATACAAAGAAAAACTAACTAAACGATTTAGTAACTATATAGGCCATTTGATAGGTGATAAAGTGGGACTTAACTGAAACGAATAACAATAGAAAAAGCCAGAGAACTAAGCCTGAGAACAAGGAATCGATTACTTATTTGGTTTGCAAACCCTGAATTTGACTCGATAGAATAGATAAGTAACAGTGTAGAGAGAAACTAGGGCCCAATGCTGAGTAGAAGTTGACGCAGTATAATCTATACTTGAACTGAACTAACCGGGTAAAACCTCGGAACATGCAGGCCAAGCCTAACGATAATGACTATTTCCTAGCAGCTGACGACTGGTCAACCACGGCAGATTAAATAAGTAAGGCCTTGTTTGAAAGTGACAATTACTTGATAACATCTATGGTATAGTAATTTCCTGCGACAAGAACCGAGTTAACATCCGCTACAAAACCAACATTTGTTAAACAACGAGTAACAATCTTAGCAAGGAGCGACTCCTAAGAGCAGTACCATGCTTGTCGTTAATAAAATTAATTTAGCTTACCACAGTCTATATCCTAGCTCACCACTGACACAATCTCACTGCTGTCTCCCAATTTCCTTGAAATGAGCAATCTTCCGCGGTAACTCTCTGGGTATAACTTTCAAAATAGTCGTCTTTCTGACAACAACAACTACTACTACTACATAAGTGAGTCTTTCTACATTTTTTCACAAACTGTTCTGAAACATTCCAGAAGCTTACATCAGTACTATTTTAATAGTATGACATAACAAGTGCCTGACTTGATGAAATGTTCTGGAAAGTTCTATGGTATGCAAGTCAGCATGACTCAGCAGTCTGGAGATTTCTAGAAGCTTATATTTACAACAGTCACTCATATCAATACTAAGCTTTGCGTGACAGATCTTTTCGGCCTGATCAATGTATAAACATCTCTAATGTTTTGGTTTCTGGAAAGTTTTTCAGATTTTGGGAATTTTGAATCTACTGGATTTCTCTGGAGGATAATAGGTAACCGAATACAATTTCATTTTGTGCAAAATTTGAAATTTCCGTTTGCGATCGATCCATTTAAAGCGTTCTTTTTGAAGTACATCTGAGACTTACATCTGTCTTGAAGAAAAGTTTTTGTTAAGAATTTGAAGAACGATACAGAGAAGTAAATAATTTCAGTTACTTCGAGTCATCTGTGATGTTGGAGCAAGGTTAAGTTTATTGATAGTGACTCCCACTGGTACACACGTACGGTCAAAGGGGCTACCATTTAAGACTTCATCCCAACAACATCAATAGGAATAGCGGAATCGAAATTCCGAAGCTTGGATACCCACAATCAAACAACCTAACACCCGATCAAAGAGGACCTATGCGGGAACACCATCTAACAACCGGAATAATAGTGAGGATCGAAATGCATCAATAGCAACGAACGAACGTGCTGAAAGTAGCGACACGTAAACGATCGACCTCGTCGCCTGATGAAGACTAGACGTTGCGATCAACATCAAAAGTGACTCCATCGTGAGACAAACGACTGAAGTTCATATCCTATCTGTGATGTTTTTCATGAGATTTATATCCTCCTGAAAGTGGTCTGTGCTCGCATTTTACATCTGTAATTTATTAACCAAAGAAAACAGTATAAATCTAAATGATTGCAGGAGAGGTGTACTTGCAAATGCCGTTGTAGTGTTTATGTACCTCATATTGATTTTCACTTCGCCACTCATTTGCACTCGTCACAGTTAGAGAAAGGTATTCTTTGCGAGTCGAGTCAGATTTTAAAGCAATTTTGACCTTATTAAACCTCGGGTAACTCCTTTGTATTACTTATCACTCTAACACACTTTGCGGAAGCATTAAGGTTTAACAAGCAAGCCACATAGGTGAGCCTCAACATACCTCAATTTACTCGTCTATACAGCAGCGAATCAAACAACACACCTCGGGAGTTTCTTGCGGTAAAATGAATCCAAAAGTGTTGTCCTTTGAAACAATGATGAGATGGCATTCACCTTTTTATTCCATGCATGCGCAGAACTGTTTTATCAAAGGGTGTTTCCCCGAAAGGTAATTGACTCCCCGAAATACCTGAGGACATATTACAATAGCTAAAAATAGCAGATGTTAATGCCACTATCATGCACTGGTGGCGTGAGCACTTTTCTATGAAGATCCAAAGGCCAAAACGGAAAACTTTCGTTTTCGAATAAAGCTGCAACTATTTCAACGTAAGCAGGCTTAAGCCAAGTAACAGGTAAGCTGTTTCATTTGAGGATTTATCTGTGCCATTGCGAGTAGTTTGCTTTAAAAATATGCATCAAATATTGCAAATCAGAGCTCTTAGATCGTGACTTTGAATTAAGCTTAAAAATATCCGTTGTGTTAGACATGCAATAATGTTAGTAACTGATGCAGCTTGTAACAAATTCAGGGTTGGGGTTTTAAAGGGAGATAAATATCACCGTTTAAAAAGATAAAAGATTACATAGTTTTCAACAATCTCGCCTTCAAAACAGAGATTGTACTGTACACTTTACAGAGCGTTGTTTAAATTCTTCGCGTTTGTGTTTAGACTTGTTTTTAAGCAACAATTGTTCTGGATATTCATGAATAAACATTCGCACCAGGACTGATCGTGGGAAAATTTCAGTGCCTTTTGTTTTGCTCACGGTCGGGTCACGTTATAAGTGAACCCCATCGAGTTCGAATCATGCCATGACAATGCATGGGCACGTGCGGAAATAAACACTCGTTGTGGCAGTGGAACGTTTATTAGCATTGTCATGCGCGAGCTCTTTTTGGCGGGTCAGCCAATGAGCTTCGACTGTTCCCACGGACACGGTTTAGAAATTACAATGGTTTGTCTGTTTTTGCTTCATGAAGTTTTAATAAGAATCATACGATCATACTGATCATAACGAAGGCTGGACAACCATTCATAAGCCGGTCTTTAACTTGGACGATACCTTCAAGTTAAAAAACTTATATTGGAGATATGGAGCTAATCAAGCGCGATTCCGAGCATACAAAGAAAAACTAACTAAACGATTTAGTAACCATATAGGCCATTTGATAGGTGATAAAGTGGGACTTAACTGAAACGAATAACAATAGAAAAAGCCAGAGAACTAAGCCTGAGAACAAGGAATCGATTACTTATTTGGTTTGCAAACCCTGAATTTGACTCGATAGAATAGATAAGTAACAGTGTAGAGAGAAACTAGGGCCCAATGCTGAGTAGAAGTTGACGCAGTATAATCTATACTTGAACTGAACTAACCGGGTAAAACCTCGTAAATATATCTAATCAAAGAACACGCAAGCCAAGCCTGCCCTCGTGAATATATCTAATCAAGGAACATGTAAGCCAAGCCTAACGATAATGACTATTTCCTAGCAGCTGACGACTGGTCAACCACGGCAGATTAAATAAGTAAGGCCTTGTTTGAAAGTGACAATTACTTGATAACATCTATGGTATAGTAATTTCCTGCGACAAGAACCGAGTTAACATCCGCTACAAAACCAACATTTGTTAAACAACGAGTAACAATCTTAGCAAGGAGCAACTCCTAAGAGCAGTACCATACTTGTCGTTAATAAAATTAATTTAGCCCACCACAGTCTATATCCTAGTTCACCACTGACACAATCTCTGCTGTCTCCCAATTTCCTTGAAATGAGCAATCTTCCGCGGTAACTCTCTGGGTATAACTTTCAAAATAGTCGTCGCTCTGACAACAACAACTACTACTACTATATAAGTGAGTCTTTCTACATTTTTTCACAAACTGTTCTGAAACATTCCAAAAGCTTACATCAGTACTATTTTAATAATATTGCATAACAAGTGCCTGACTTGATGAAATGTTCTGGAAAGTTCTATGGTATGCAAGTCAGCATGACTCAGCAGTCTGGAGATTTCTAGAAGCTTATATTTACAACAGTCACTCGTATCAATACTAAGCTTTGCGCGACAGATCTTTTCGGCCTGATCAATGTATAAACATCTCTAATGTTTTGGTTTCTGGAAAGTTTTTCAGATTTTGGGAATTTTGAATATACTGGATTTCTCTGGAGGATAATAGGTAACCGAATACAATTTCATTTTGTGCAAAATTTGAAATTTCCGTTTGCGATCGATCCATTTAAAGCGTTCTTTTTGAAGTACATCTGAGACTTACATCTGTCTTGAAGAAAAGTTTTTGTTAAGAATTCGAAGAACGATACAGAGAAGTAAATAATTTCAGTTACTTCGAGTCATCTGTGATGTTGGAGCAAGGTTAAGTTTATTGATAGTGACCCCCACTGGTACACACGTACGGTCAAAGGGGCTACCATTTAAGACTTCATCCCAACAACATCAATAGGAATAGCGGAATCGAAATTCCGAAGCTTGGATACCCACAATCAAACAACCTAACACCCGATCAAAGAGGACCTATGCGGGAACACCATCTAACAACCGGAATAATAGTGAGGATCGAAATGCACCAATAGCAACGAACGAACGTGCTGAAAGTAGCGACACGTAAACGATCGACCTCGTCGCCTGATGAAGACTAGACGTTGCGATCAACATCAAAAGTGACTCCATCGTGAGACAAACGACTGAAGTTCATATCCTATCTGTGATGTTTTTCATGAGATTTATATCCTCCTGAAAGTGGTCTGTGCTCGCATTTTACATCTGTAATTTATTAACCAAAGAAAACAGTATAAATCTAAATGATTGCAGGAGAGGTGTACTTGCAAATGCCGTTGTAGTGTTTATGTACCTCATATTGATTTTCACTTCGCCACTCATTTGCACTCGTCACAGTTAGAGAAAGGTATTCTTTGCGAGTCGAGTCAGATTTTAAAGCAATTTTGACCTTATTAAACCTTGGGTAACTCCTTTGTATTACTTTTCACTCTAACACACTTTGCGGAAGCATTAAGGTTTAACAAGCAAGCCACATAGGTGAGCCTCAACATACCTCAATTTACTCGTCTATACAGCAGCGAATCAAACAACACACCTCGGGAGTTTCTTGCGGTAAAATGAATCCAAAAGTGTTGTCCTTTGAAACAATGATGAGATGGCATTCACCTTTTTATTCCATGCATGCGCAGAACTGTTTTATCAAAGGGTGTTTCCCCGAAAGGTAATTGACTCCCTGAAATACCTGAGGACATATTACAATAGCCAAAAATAGCAGATGTTAATGCCACTATCATGCACTGGTGGCGTGATCACTTTTCTATGAAGATCCAAAGGCCAAAACGGAAAACTTTCGTTTTCGAATAAAGCTCCAACTATTTCAACGTAAGCAGGCTTAAGCCAAGTAACAGGTAAGCTGTTTCATTTGAGGATTTATCTGTGCCATTGCGAGTAGTTTGCTTTAAAAATATGCATCAAATATTTCTAATCAGAGCTCTTAGATCGCGACTTTGAATTAAGCTTAAAAATATCCGTTGTGTTAGACATGCAATAATGTTAGTAACTGATGCAGCTTGTAACAAATTCAGGGTTGGGATTTTAAAGGGAGATAAATATCACCGTTTAATGTAATCTTCTTAATTTCTTTTGCGTAGTGGTTATGGTCATATCCCGCTATTCCGTTTTGCATAAACATTACTGAGAATTCGTTCATTTCACATGGACCAGACTTTCTGCTTCAATTTA